ACCTGAAACCCAGATATGTGCCCTTGACCAGGAATCGAACCCATGACCCTTCAGTGCACTGATGCTCTAACCTACTGAGCCACACCAGCCAGGGCTATTAGTCCAATCTTATTGTTGAGAGATATTTAATGGCGACTCAAAGTGAACACATTACAAAATAAATACTTGAGAAGTGCTTGTATGATTTTAGCTGAAATTATGGATTCTTTGATTAATCAAGTATATTCTATTATTCCCTTCTGCCCTCTTTTAGTTTATTTGTTATGCATTCTTTCATTTCTGTGGTTATTTTAGAGATTAGAACATGCATTGTGGACTTACTAGTGTCTACTGGTGGGCCTTTTATCACTCCAGGATAATGCAAGACCTTAGAACAATTAAGCTCCATTTATTCCACTCATTTTTTGTACAGTTGATGTCATATATTTTAAATTCCAGAAAACATTACTGATATTATAGTATAGCATCAATATTTGGTAGACTTATCCACATAGTTACCCTTTCTTCTGCTTTTTATGCCTGTCTACCTTTCTTTTTGAAGAACCCCTTTAGTATTTCTTTTTGTTATTTCTGTGGTATTTCTTTTTATTAGTTCTATTTCTCTTGTTGAAAGTTGGTTGAAAGCATATTTACCTTTTTTTTTTTTTTTTTAAGGATTTTTTTCTGTGTAGAATTTTAGGTTGCCTGTTTTCTTTCATCACTTTAAAGATGCCATTCCATTGTCTGATGAGCATCTTTTCTGTTGAAAGTCAGCTGTCAGTGTGCCATTGCTCCCTTCTCTGCCTGTCAGCAGTTTTACTGTGATGTACCTAGGTGTGGTTTTTTTTTGTGTTTATACTGCTTGTGATACATAGCCCTTTCGTTTTTAGAGAGAGGGAAGGGGGGGTGCGTGGTGGGAACATCGATCAGTTGCCTCCTGCATGTGCCCCAAACAGGGATCGAACCCGCAACCTGGGTATATTAAACCCCTCCCCCCCTTTTGGTGTACAGGACTACACTCTAACCAACTGAGCCACACCAGCCAGGGAGATACATAGCAGTTCTTGAATCTGTGGTATGCTGTCGTTGGTTTAAGAAACCACTTAGCGGTTATGTCTTCAAAAATTAACTCTGCCTAATTCTACCACATTCTTTCTCCTCCTGGGAGTCTATTAAACATGCCTGAGGTTTTTTACTGTCTCTCTTGGTGTCTCTTAGATTCTCTTCTGTATTTTCATCTTTTTTTACATCCTGGGCTTCAGTTTGGTAAGTTATACAGACTTCTTTTCTGCTGCACCTAATCTGCTATCAGATCCATTTATCGAGCTCTTAATTTCAGATATTAGATCTGTTTTTTTAGTTCTAGAATTTCAATTTGATTATTTCAATAGATTTTAGTTAAGAGTTGTAGTCTGTTTCTTTAGACAACTAATTGTAGTTAAAATCCATGTCTGATAACACCAATATCTGGATCTCTGTGGATCTGTTTCTATTGTCTGTTTGTTTGTTTTTCTTTTCTGTCATTTTGGACTTTTTGTTTGAAATGTCTGGTAAGTTATGATTGAATACTGAAAAATTATAGTGTCTCCGTATGATATTTTCCTTTTCCCGGTATTTATTTTTGTAGTTTTCCTGGCAGGCTTGTAGAGTAAAAACAGCAAGTGAGACCATAATCCAGTGAGGAATTGAGATGCTTTGAGAGTGGACTTCAGTGTTGATGAGAGCTAATTGTTTCTGAGATTTACTCCAAGGGTATAGCCCTTCCAGGGCTGTAAGTGAAAGTCTGCGGTGTTTACTATACTGTATATAGTCTACCTTCCTTTGTGAACTTGAAATTCCTTTTATTGTTTCCTTAGGACTGTGAGATGGTTGAAAACTTTGCTTAACCTTTCAGCCTCTTAGTATTTACTTTGTGCTTAGCTTCTCAGCTACACCCCCCCACCCCCCAAGCAGCTTTCATAATATCAGTCTCCTTGAGGGGAAAAGCAATGTGGTATGTTGGCTCACTTCTCTGCGGTTGCCTTTCCCCCTAGGATCTTGACTCCTCACATTATGACTTTCTTAGTTGGCCTGAACTTCAGTTGTCTCCTTGGCCCCATGAGGTGATGGCAGCTCTGAGCTACTAACTTGACTTAGTGTCTGACCTACACTGCTTAAAATTGGCAAATATTTCAAGAGAAAAAGCAGTGGACATTGTCAGGTCCACCTCGGGTGTTTCTGTGACCTTGGCCCCTTGATCCTGGATTGTGCACCAGTGCAGTCAATTAATCTGTTTCTTGTAGTCTGTCTATCTTTTGTAGCTGTTCTCAGGGTGGGAGTTGATCTGACATGAGCTACTGTGTCACAGCAGAAAGCAAAAATCTCCTGGAAGTGGAAATCTCAATTATTGGTCTTTTGAAATCTATACCTTACTTGCCCCATTCTCCCAAAAAAGTATGTGAAGCAACTTGTAATGAAATACACATGTACATGCAATAAAAACCTTAAAATAAGGGTAAAAAATCAAAAGTATAAGGACAGCAGAGAAGGCAGAGGAAGGTGTAGAGACAGAGGAAGGAGATAATTATTAGAAATGTAAACTATGGGTGGTTTCCATAGTTGACCATCATTTAGTACAGGACCTTCTTAAAGCTAAGGTACAAAAGGACACATGAATTTTATATATGTTGGGGAAAATAGGACTTGGAAGTTAGGATAGAGAAAAGAGAGATGAAATTAGCAGTGACAATTGTATTAGGTTTTGTTTTGTTGGTTATTTTGGTTTTGTTTTTGTAGACTTAGTAATTTTTAAAATAGAAGTTTGGAGGCAATGGAGGGTTCTGAAACTTATTAAAGAAGGTCTGGTCTAATCAGGACGTTACACGTGCTGGACCACTTAGTAATTGGGATTGCTAATATTTTGGCATAAAGCCTTAATACCACTTCGCAAATGTGATATAAAAATACCCTGCCCTGGCCGAGTGGCTCAGTTGGTTGTAGGTTTGATTCCTGGTCAGGGCATATACCCAGGTTGTGGGGGGTGAGTGCGGGAGGTGGCCAATTGGTGTTTCTCTCTCACATCAATCATTCTCTCTCCCCTTTACTCTCTCTCTAAAATTAATAGAAAAAACATCCTCGGCTCGAGTGAGGATCACACACACACACACACACACACACACACACACACACACACACCCCCCCCACCAAAACAACAACAAAAACCCTGATGATTAGCACAAAGGATTAATTTCATTTTCTTGTGTATTTATAATTTTCAAGACTTTAGCCCAGGGGACAGCATTCATTCCCACCCACCTCAACCACCCCACTCCCACTTTCAAAAAGAAAGCAATCTGTAAACTCAAACCANAGTGGGAAGACACACCCTTACAGTTCTTGTTTTCTGAGGAAAGACTGTACAATGGCCCATCAACAGGTATTTTTTTCTGGTACTTAATCCTAAGGGAATTTTATCATATCGATTTTTGTGTCATTGAACAGCACAGCAGTGTCCTCAGTATTACTTTTAAGGGTGATACAGAAATGCCTTTCATATGATGGTTCCTTATATTGACCCTTGAAAACAGATTTAACCATAATTTTAAATCATTACTTAGTTAAAGACATTTTATGAAGAACTAGATTAATAATAGTTCATAGACCAACGGGTTTGGCACTCTTAATTTGAAATGCTGGAAGAATTTAGAAAACCAGAGGAAATTTTTCTTCTTTCCCCCTTACTGATCAACTGTTACAAGAAGTTTTGACAAAAATTGGCAGTGTGTGGCTATGCGGATATTTTTTTGATTTGAAAAGAGCCATATGCTTTATTTTTTTACCATTTATATTTATTTTAAAATATGATTTGAAAAGAGCCATATGCTTTATTTTTTTGCCATTTATATTTATTTTAAAATATTATTAGCTGTTACTTAACACTATTAAAGGAAATCTGCTAAATACCAGATTGCTTATAGTAAGTTGAAATTCTGTTACCAGAATTTAGAGTCTTGATTTGCATGGCTGAGGGGACAGCCGAGTTCTGCCTACAAGACATAGCTCAGGTTTGTATCTTTCTCGATTAGAATTTGATCTTCTAAGCATCTGTTCATACCTCCTTCACTTTTCCCAGCGGCACTATAACAGCCAGAATTGGAGGTACTTTCGCAGGTTGAGCTGGAACGTGGAGGCAGGAGGGCCCGAGTCATCCCAGGGGAGCTGGCTGGGAAGGCTTCACAGAGGAAGCGGTGCTGGAGCTTCTTGCAAGAGGCCAAGAGATTGCTGGGAGGGCATTCCAGCTGACGGAGGCACAGAAGCAGAGGCCACGGGGCACATGAGAATATGGCATTTCCGGAAAATGTCATTTGGTTTGTGGGGTGGGAGAATGGTCGGAGAAGCCGGAGCTCTTACTGCGTGGCAAGCTCTCAGCCAGGCCTTTCATCTTGTGAACTCATTGAATCCTTCTTGCCCCATTTAGTAGCTGGATGGCCACGCTGAGGTCTCCCAGATTTGAACTTGGGTCTCCTTGATTTCAGAGTCCATGCTTTCTGCAGCGTATCTTATTCATAGGACACCAAGAAAGAGTCATGCATGTTCATTTGGTCTGGCTTGCGGCGCTAAACGCGGGTAGTAAACGCACTGTGGAATTGCGCCGAGTTTCATCGCAGTGAAGATGTTTCGAAGGTTGCACAGGAATGCCCGTGAACTCTTCACTTTTTCCACGGGCTTGTCCCAGGCCAAAGTGGCTGCATTCCTAACGACACCCAGCCCAGCAACCAGCCAGATGAGGTGCACTCTCCCTTTGTGTTTTCCTATCATTCTGAATTTAAATCGGGCTGAAGAGTAGGGAGAAGGAAATGAGCCAGAAAATAGAAAATTAATACAGAAAATAGAAAATTAATACTAGGTAGAGTCGTCATATTTTAAAATTAATTTATAGGCAATGTCAGATAATCAGAGTTAAATCATTTTATCAGTAGGCTGGTGTGGGATTTAAAAATTTGACATCCATCAATGTAAATCAGTCTCAGGAGCCCCAGAGAATGGTCTCCAGGGACGAGGGCTGGTACAGGGTGCACAGAAGTGTAAATACTTGATTAGCTGTGTCCTTTCCTTTCCCACCAAACCTAAACTATTTCTACATCCCAGTGAGTGGCAATGGTATGTTAAATAGTAATGGGAGGGAAGACACTATTCAGGTTTATGGTTAGACTACTTTAAATACTTGTCGTCCCTCCCTGACAATCCTAGGGAGCTGTTGAGTGAGAGGCACTAGTTTTGGGTGTCATCCTGGCTCATGGGTCCAGGGATGACCTCCTTCTGCCCAGACACAGGCTGGATACCATTTCCCCTGGCTGCTCAGATCTCTGCCATGTGCCTGCAGACAGGAGCACCCACAGGTTGGCTACATTTGTCCAGGGAAGACCTGGCCTGATTCAAGACCTGCCTTTCTTCTCTTGTCATTGCAGCTGTCTGTCGAGGGCGCGTGGTGAGAGTCCCCGCCGGGAGCCTGGTGCGAGTGGTGGGCACCGAGCTGGTCATCCCCTGCAACGTCAGCGATTACGACGGCCCCAGCGAGCAAAACTTTGACTGGAGCTTCTCGCCTTCGGGGAGCAGCTTCGTGGAGCTGGCCAGCACCTGGGAGGTGGGCTTCCCGGCCCAGCTGTACCGGGAGCGCCTGCAGCGGGGGGAGATCCTCCTGAGGCGAACCGCCAATGACGCCGTGGAGCTCCATATAAAGAACGTCCAGCCCTCGGACCAAGGCCACTACAAGTGTTCCACCCCCAGCACGGACGCCACCGTGCAGGGCAACTACGAGGATACTGTGCAAGTGAAAGGTACATCCTCATGGGGGTCACCGTGCCAGGGGCCGGGCTTTCCCCTGCCACTTGGCTGTGGGGAACTTTGTCAAGAAACTTAACGCCTCTGCGGCCTGCTTCCTCCTCTGATGATTAATAGCAGCTTATCTAATTAAAGGCAGGGTATGGGCCAGGTGGCCCTGAGGGTCCTTTCTCTTTACTTTGATCCTGAGCCATCCCCTGGCTGGTGAGTTGGAGGCGGCAGGGCGTGGGGGTAGGGAGCCCAGCTCTGAGCCAGGTCTCCTGCTCTCAGTGAGTCAATGACTGGCTCTGCCACTTGCCAGCTGTGTGGCCATGGACACGTGACATCACCAGCTTCCTCCTCTGCAACAGGGCCTTTCTTAAAGGCACTGAGGACAGGGAAATAGTGCCATAGAAGCATTCAGTGGAGGTTTGCGATGAGAAGGTGACGGTCAAGATGATAATGTTTGGCTTTATGGGAATTACNTTGCAGAGCTTCCTCCTCTGCAACAGGGCCTTTCTTAAAGGCACTGAGGACAGGGAAATAGTGCCATAGAAGCATTCAGTGGAGGTTTGCGATGAGAAGGTGACGGTCAAGATGATAATGTTTGGCTTTATGGGAATTACAGATACTTCAGAGCTCATGTCCTCCTGTGCGCCCTGAAGTACCTGTTAGTTCTCGAAGTTGTGTGAGCTATAGGTAGAGGAAGAGTGTTTATGATGGGCACCGCTAGCTGATTGGCCTCGCTGTGCAAGTCATCACACCTTCCATATCGGCATTGTTTTTGTTTTGTTTTTTTCTCCATTTTCCAAGTCCTGTTAGATTTACTCACACATTCAGTTCTCTGAATTCAGCCAGGAAGGTAGGGCAGGATATTTCCTTAGTTTACACATGAGGAAATGGGAGAGCAGAGGTTAATTACTTCCTTAAAATCCCACAGCTAATCAGTAAATGAGCAAGAACAAAATTTTAATTTGGGGCTAGCCAGATAGAAACATTATTGTTGTTATTTTTATCACTTAATTATGCATTTATTTTGTACCCTGCCTTGTTCCAAAAAGAATTGATATCAGGATAGGAGTGCGTGTAACAAAGTAGAAGATGTACATGATGACATAAAACGAGGGGGTTGATTCCCACAGTAACGATTTGTAGGACCCCACCCTATCTCAGATCCTGCACCCTCATTTAACTCATGAAGGGATAGAATAGCCCTGTCTGTTATGTAGGTATTAAAACATCAAATCTACCTCTTCCTTATTTCTATAGAAAATCCTAAACATGTTTTTTTAGAAGAAAGTCCCATAAGACATTCCTGCATTGCAGTTAACTAATGCATTGCTTTTATAATCAGCACCCACATGCTGCACCTCCTTTAGGTCAGATGCACTCTTGTTTCCCCTTGTAATTGAAAGCAGATGGATGGCCCATGAAAGAGGCTGGTTGGTGCCCAGGTGGAGCCCCTGATGGCTGCCATGCATGGTCCAGAGTCCGCCTGGCCTTCAGTACAGAGCTGAGGCTTCTGTTTTCCTTGACGGGCTCCCCACCCACAGAACTCTGCTTACTCTGGTCACTTGTAGGCACTTCCCAGGCTACAAGGCACAGGGAACTCATGCCAAGCTTCCCCCTGTGGATCACGCTGCTTTAACTCTCGGAAGGGCCTTCAGGCTCCCTACTCGAGCCCTGGATCCTAACAAGGGAGTGTTGGACAGCCTTAGCGGTGGCTGTATTGTGATTGTTGAGTGCCAGCTTTGTCCTGGGCACTTTCCTATCAGCTTCCTGAGATAGGTCCACTTGTCACCTCTTTTCAGAAATGAGGAAACTGAGGCACAGAGGGGTAAAGGGTGGCTTAAGGGTGGCAGAAGCATGTCCCCAAGGCCCAACTCCAAAAAGGGAGTTTTCACCCCCAAACCCCAGTTCTACCAGGGAGTCTTATTAGGCCCTCTTCTTATTTTTCATTTTCAAGTCAGAAAGTCAATTAAGATTATAGATGAATCAAAATGGGAAAATGTGCCCATCTGGACATTAGAACAGGGAAGGGGGCGGGGAGAGTTGTTCTTGGTCACAGCCCGGCTCATGGCTCACGGCCAGAAAGGTGGCTGGTGCTTGCTGGGAGGGGGCTTAGGTGCTCTGCTGATGGTCTGTCCCTCCCCACCTCCAGTGCTGGCTGACGCCCTGCACGTGGCCGCCAGCCCTCGGCCATCCCCGGGCCTGGGCCTGGGCCTGAGCCTGCACCTGGGAGAGCCCTTCGAGCTGCGCTGCGCGGCCGCCACTGCGTCGCCGCTGCACACTCACCTGGCGCTGCTGTGGGAGCTGCGGCACGGCTCCACCCGGCAGAGCGTCCTCGCCCTGACCCACGAGGGCCGGCTGCGCCCGGGCCCCGGCTACGAGCAGCGCTACCACGGCGGGGACGTGCGCCTGGACACCGTGGGGAACGACGGCTATCGCCTCTCCGTGGCCCGAGCCCTGGCCACCGACCAGGGCACCTACAGGTGCGTCGTCAGTGAGTGGATCGAAGAGCAGGGCAGCTGGCAAGAAATCCAAGAAAAAGCCGTGGATGTGGCCACTGTGGCGATCCAGCCAACAGGTGAGCTTCTGGAAATGGGTATTTTAGACTTTATTTTTCTGACCAATGATGGTGTGAGAACTGGGGGGGGCACCCCATCCCCTTCTGACAAGATTTCTGCTTCTCACGGGAGGCCTGGGGTTGAGGGGGAAGGGAGGAGGGCGGTGTTGGCAGTTGAGGAGGGCTCATTTGTTTTGTGCTTTATGTCCATAGTTTTGCTTTGTGGCCACTTTTCATCTCGATTCATACCCACGGGAAGCATGTTACCCATGATACTGAGACAGTGTTTTGACTGAAAGACAGGTCCCTTTAGGTGCAAGAACGAGGCCTGGCCTTGTGTCCTGAGGGGTGGAGCTGCTCCCACCAGCCCCCTTGGCTTTATCCTGTTTGGTGTTTCCCCTTTGGATCTGCAGTTCCCCATAGCTGTTGGGGATGTGTGTCTGGCTCACTTCAAAACCTCTGGTCTAACGTGCTCCTCTAGGCCTGCCTCTCAGGTCCCCTCAGGTGCCCCATCCCCTTCTAGGTGAGGAGTTCTCCGGGGCTGGGCCTTGTCTTAGTTCCTGTAGTACACCCCCCAAGGAGCATCTAGCCTCGGAGTCTCTAGGCAAGAAGTTCTCTGTCTTGTCATCTGTGAACCAGCTTAAACAAACAAAACAAAAACACACACAACTTTTAATTCTACTAGAGAGGAAGTTAGTAAAAAACAAAATACATTTTAGAAAACTCATAAAAATAAAAGAAAAACAAATGAGAAAGAAAAACAAGCCATTATTGATTCCATGTCCCACAAGCGGCAATAAAGAATCTACCAGATGATCAGCTGTGTCCTGGGCCCTAGGGTGGGAGTTGCCCGAGGAACCTTCCAGGCCCCATGGAGTGTGGGCTTCGGCAGAGACTGTGCAGAGACCTTCTCAGCATGATCTTGTTGCTGTGGGTGGGTGGATGCACTTGGTTTTCTGGGAGCCTGACATCTTCGGATCTCAGAGTACTTGGTTGCCGTAGCTGCTGCCTCCTGTTTTGTAAACTGAGAAGACCTTGGCCAAACTCACTTCCTGAGTGTGAATGTGAGCGTGTGGCCGCTCTGAGCCTCAGATGGGAAGGGAAGCAGGAAACAGTCCACATGGGGAGTATTTTTCCTCGGCAGACGGCATTGTCCTGAGCATTTCGCTGCATTTATACCACCACACAAGAGCTGGATTTGGTAAAAGCGGGACTGAGGTCTTAGTGACTGTGGTCGTTGATGTGGGAGGTGCTCTTGCCACGGAGAGGAGCTGCTCATCATGGTCAGTCTTGGTTCCACTGGACTTGGGTCACCTTCCTTTTTGGAAGTAATCTGCTTAGAATCTGTCTTAAGGAACCTCAGCTATTCAGCTTGCACCAAACAACTGGGGTTAAGAATTTCAGATTTGCAGCAAGTTTTCTTTTTATGCCGGAATTTCCATTGTAAAGGTATTTTTTATTTCAAACAAGCCACAAACCTATAATACCTAGTTATAAGACCTGAACGTATCAGGCAGGTAATAGCATTGGGCTCTCACCTGGGCCTGGGGGTGGAGAACCTTTTTGTGTCCTGAGCTGCTTTGACACTCTTTTGAACCCCACGGACCTTCCTCAGAATTAACGTGTTAAATGCATAAGATGCACAGGATGACAAAGGAAAACAATTATATTGAAGTAGTTGCCAAAATATTTTAAAGACAAATTTGTTATATAGCAATACTTTGCTTTATCAGTGCATTAAATAATAAGATATAGTGGCAGGCCTACCAACTATTTTAAGATATCTGCAACAATTGTAATGGGATGTAAAAACATCTGTGACTTTTATTGGGGCAAAATCCCAGGGACAGATACTACTACACTGGTTTGCCGCTGAGTCTCATAATGAGCGGAGATGCTATATCTCAGGTAGAGATGAGTAAAAATAGAAATGTTTTTTTCATTCGTCCGTCGTGGACCCTGTGGGCCCCAGGTTAAGAGCCCCGCACTAGACAGAGCACTGCTCTTTTGTTCTCAGCACCTGCACTGTTCCATAGCCATCTTAACCATTCCTACTGCATTGTTGTGATAAACAGCCCGGAGCTACTTAAACAGTGGGGCTGTGTTACCTGTGTGGTGGTATTTCCCCCCGTGTCACGCGTGGCCTGGTTGATGCAGACCTTGGTGTCTATTACGGATTCAGTTAATCGAACAGGAGAAAGCCTGAAACCGAGGTAGGCTTTCTTCGTCTGGGCTCCCCTCTTGCGTTGCTTGTCCTTAGAACTACTTCTTTCTTTGCTTCAGCCTGCTCCCTGTGTCCCAGGAGTGACCCTCCCCCAAATCCAGAACATATGGGAACGATCGTTAGTGGTATGACAAGATATTTAGCCGCTTGCAGAGAAAATGACAGACATTTCTCCCAATACTCCTTAAACCTAAGACTGTTTACGCCGTATGGACAGCCGGTAGCTGGGTACTGACCACTTCCTCTCCCTCCTGGCTCCCTCCTGAGCCTCTGCCTCCTGCGGCGGGTGGCCGGCACACAGGGACTCCGGTGGTATTCCAGGGTCTCTGACCACAGTCGTTGTACGTGGGGTGGTTCAAACTGCAGCACAGACTCAGGGCAATTGTGTCCATACTGACTCCTCTCAAAAGACATCCTCAAATTACCTTTGTCCCCTTTAAAAGGGTCAACCTCAGGAGGAGGAATTTGGAGGGTAGGTGGGGGTGAGAAATGAGACTTTGAAACTCCTTTTTCTAATTACTGTGCCCACCTCAGTTTCTGTCTTCATCAAGGGGGGTCTTGAACTTGGCCTGAAACACTTGTTTGCAGTGTTGTCAGGCTTTGGTAACATTCATGTGAAACCAGTTTGCTCCAGAGGGCGTGGGCTTTGGGGCTGGTCTTGTCTGAACTGTCACCTGCCTTTGTCACTGAGCGTCCTACGGACAGCCGCTCAAGCTGAGGGACTCTTGCTGTAAGACCAGGACTGTGCCTGCACTTGAGTCTCCACCGGGAGATGTTGGCTGTGGATCATCTCAGCAGCTGTTCCCACAGCGTTACCACGAGTTGAATGTTTTTCTAGTCTGATTACAGATGTTCAACTTCTTTTTCAAAGCCCCCTAAATAAAGTGAAATGTTTCCATGTAAAAAGCTGCGACGGGGGAATGCTGAAACCAGATCTGCCTCGAGACCGTGGCACCAAGTCCGTCAGCGTCTCCCCTAAATATAATCTGCCTTTCATCGCCCACACTAATGAGAGAGGGCAGCGGCTTGGGTAACCCAAAAACCGTTGTTTTGGTTTGAAAATATATGCTTTGTGCTCAACTTTAAGGTAGTCTGTCTAATGGAGTAAATGATGCTCTACGTATGTTGCATTCTGAAGACCTGACTCATAAGGCACGTGGTCAGGTTTCACTTTCCCGGGCCTTCTGTTTAGGACTTTCCCCTCTTTTACTCAAAAGATGGTTTCATCCTTGCCTTCTGCCAACCCCCATGCCCAGCCCCCAACTAGTAATAGGTACCAGTCAGAACGGAACTGTCATTTCTCTGTAAAATCACCCCCATCTTATCATGCACATAGAGAAAGTATAAGTTTAGTTTTGGGATGTTCAGCAGACTTCTTTTCAGTTACGAGCAGAGTTCCTAGAGGCAGGTAGCCTGGATTTGAACTCCAGGTCTGCCACATACTAGCTGTGTGACCTTGAGCAAGTTACTTAACTCCTCTGTTCTTCAGTTTCCTTATCAGTAAAATGGAGATAATAATAGTACCTACCTCATAGGGTTGCTTTGAAGATTAATATTTATAAAGCACTTAGAACAGTGTCTGGCATATAGTAAGTGTATATACATTTTTTTTGAATTAAAAGGAAATGTGGTATGCGTTTATTAAATGAGTTTATTTAATAAATATTTCTCAAGCATTTACAACTGTACAAAGCCTTCTAATTTTAATGCCATAAATAAAAACCTAAAAGGAGATGCTCTACTGGGGGGGGGGAGGGACAAACATTATCCAGATTATCAAGATGTATTTTGCTTTTCATTTTCAAGTCCTGCGAGCTGCCGTGGGCAGGAATGTGTCTGTGGCCGAAGGGAAGGAGCTGGACCTGAGCTGCAACATCACAACAGACCGAGCGGATGATGTCCGACCCGAGGTGACATGGTACTTCAGCACGACGCCCGACAGCACCGTGCCCGGCCTCCACATGTTGGCACGGCTGGACCGGGATTCCCTGGTGCACAGCTCTCCTCACGTCGCTTTGAGTCACATGGATGCACGCTCCTACCATTTACTGGTCCGAGATGTTAGCAAAGAAAACTCTGGCTACTATTCATGCCACGTGGCGCTCTGGGTACCGGGGCACAACAGGAGCTGGCACAAGGTGGCAGAAGCCGTGTCTGCCCCAGCCGCTGTGGATGTGACCTGGCTCGGTGAGTGGCTTGGAGGATGGCTCTTAGCCTCCCTGGCTTAACCCCTCCTCGGGAAAGTCAGGAGGAGTCAGAGCACTGTGTGTTTCGTGTTAGGCGTTCTCGGTATCAGAACAAGCGTACTTTAGCCTGGATAGATCCCAAGCTGGGGGTGACGGCAAAACTGTCTGGAATAGAATCTGGCAGACAAGGGCAATGTTTAGATAATGTGGCCTCAGTTGTCTCAATACCCTCATTTGAGAGGATAGAGTTTCCTTTTGTTTTCGAGATTTGCAGGGTCCAGCCCTGCTGAATGGCCCTTTGAAATGGATCGCTGTGCAGGGGGACTGGTCTTCCTGTCCCTTCCTAGACTCCTAGGTGCTCTGGCAGGAGCTGGTGCTCTCTAAAGCCCAGTGCAGAAGGAGAGAGAATTCCTGCAGTTAATGGAACTTTTTTTTTTTCCTCCCTGAATGCCCTAGAATCACCAAATGATTTTATTTGCAGATATACCAGTTAAATGATATACCTGCTCCCCCAGCTCTCCTGGTGGGCTCTCAGGTGCCATTCACTGGAGGGGCCGAGTGGTCAGCCGTTGACCACCTTGCCACTCATTTATAACAGCTTGTCATATATGTGAAGTTCATTGCCATGTCCTTCCTTTTTTACCATTGTATCTTTCCCGCCTCTTACTGTCCTAAATGCTTGCCCTGCAAGACTGGCTTTTCCTTCTTTTTCCTACTGTCCTGAAATTAGTTACAAGTAAACTTAGGCAGGATGGGGTCGAGTGTCCACTATCACAAAGATGGAAACAGGCTGCCGGGCAGACTCTCCCCTGTCCTGAGCTTGAGCTCCCTGCCGTCCTATGACTGTTCTGAGCCCTGTTGGAGGCATTTGGCATGGCTTTGATTATTAGGGTAAAATATCTTTAAAGGCCAGGAAAATCATTTCCACCTTTGTCTGATGCTAAACACCCCCCTGCCAGGACCCCCAACTCCTACTTGGCTCCTCCTCACCTCTGCGTTGAAATCTTCTCATGGGTTCGTGAATCTCTTTCTTCCAAATAAGCCTGTATTTGGCAAAGACGGGGAGTTGGCACGTGGGGACAGAGGGGGCAGGGAGAGAGTGAGTAATAAGAGAGTAAGCAGAAGGTACATCCAGTTCAGAGCAAGACTAGGCAGGGCGTTCGTCATCCCTGGTAGCAAAGTGATCCTTTGATATCTGGGAAGTGAAAGGAACAGGGCTTATCTGGCAGGCTTTTATTCTTGCCTTCCGAACCCCACGCAAGAGGCGCTCTCTGAAGTACTGTACTGGAACAATGTTGGCCCAGCTAGAACTCTCCTTAGCAACCTTCAAAATAAAACAGATGTTGTCAGCACCAGGAGAAGATTTTTCATCTCTGGAGCTGAATTTGTCTATCAGCGCTGATCTGTGCATTGTGTGGTGCTGTCAGATCCCAGCGCCGACTCTCCTCCCCTCCCCCTCCAGCTCAGAGTCACACCTTAAGCGGGGTTTTTTTAGGAAGTGCTGCCTGCCCTCCGATTTGAGGACCTCTTTGAAGACCTCGTGCATTGATCCGGGCATACCTGGCAGAGAACTGGAGGGGAGCTCTGGGAGGGAATGGGCTCTTTTGACTGGAAGGGATTTGTTGGTATCTGTGTTCTCCAAAGTGAGAAGAAATAAAGAGACTGAATTTTGGGAAAAGGTTCAGTGATTGTCCTAAGGATCCAGTTAGTTGTTTGTTTTTCTGCAAAGTGCCAGCACCATTGTTGCGGATGTCAACTGCGTGCTTTCCCCTGGCTGGCGCCGAGGTGCGCAGGACCCCACACCTTGCACAGTGCCGCGCACGCAGTGGGCACTCAGTAAACGTTGGCTGGCTGGCTAGATCAACCAGAGCTGGGCACGTGGGCAGTGCTGAAATATGTATAGGAAACTAAGAATTGCAAAGAAAGCAATGATGTTCAGCTCAGAGTTTTCAGAGACATTTGCACCTGGAAAACCTACTGGGAGTAGATGGTGTAAACCAATGGCATTCTACTACTTTCTCCCTCGTAAATCTCCCCCTTCCCTGTGCCTGTGACTCACACCATCACAGCTGCTTGGGCACTGGTCAGGAGGTACATCTGGCATGAGTACAGCCGCAGACCTTTCTCCAGGACCTCCCAGTTGAATTATCTGCCCAGAAACCCGTGGGCCTGGCCTGACATGTGGTTCTCTCTAGATGTACAACGTGTCTGTGAATGTATGCGGATATGATGCCATGAGCAACTTGGTGCCTAGTGGAGGTAACTGAGAGGTGCCTAAAAAGACAGGAAGACATGCCCTGCCAAGGACTCTGTTTGCATAGGTCACCTTATGTTGTGTGACTATGGAATGTTGTCACAAAAGAGTTCTTGAGAAAGTTGGTTCTCTAAGAAGTTGTTACACAAAACTCTCAATTTTGCTACTTGACATATTCAAAATAACAGTTATCATTTATTGAACACCTACTGTGTGCCAGGCACCAGCCAAGGGCTTTACGTGCAGTAAGTGGTTAATCCCTGCAACAACCTTGTGAGTGAGCTGCTGCCCTATCCCACTCCGAAAACCATTGACTTTTATTTTGCTTATGATTATGAGGGTCAGGAATTAGGATGGACTCAAGGGGATTCATCTCAGATGCACGTGGCAACAGCTGGGACGGCTGGGACTGGGGATTCCCCTCCAGATGGCTTTCTCATGCACATGTCACCGTGCTCCCGGGCCTCTCTCTCTGTCCCCACATGGCCTCTTATCCTCCAGGCCATTTTCATGTGGCTTGGGCTTCTCATAGCACAGTCTTCTCAGGGCGGTCATACTCCTTACGTGGTGGGTGGCTTCCAAGTGGAGGAAGTGGAAGTGGCCAGCCAGTTAAAAGCCGTCCCCTGGATGGACACAGTGACACTTCCACTGTTTCCTATTGGTCAAAGCAATCACAGAATCTGCTCAAGTTCAAGGGGGTAGAGAAAGAGACCCCGTCTCTTACTGGAGAGTAGCGAGGTCACGTGGCAAACGGGCATGTGGCTGGTGAATATTGCTGCAGTCGTCTTTGGAAAATAGAATCTATCGTGGTGGTTAATGCTTTTTTCTTTTATTTCCAAAGAGATCTTTAGGATGGCTTAGAATGATCGCCCTGGGTCGAGTCTGTCTCAAGTATTGTTATCTTATGTGCAAACATTTTTGGGAATCGGCGTCACTCTTGAAACTAGAGCATGGGCCATTCTTGCCCTTATTTGCTTGGGATTGGTGCTCTGAGGCGATGAGGGGTTGAAGCTGATTGGAATTTTCTCGTGTTCTGTTCTGTTAACCAGACAGAGATCAGGGCAGCAATGTGAACGGGTCTGGCAAGTCCAAGCGCCTTTGTAGCAGCTGGAAGGACCATGATGATTTTTTTTTTTTTTTGAGAGGGTAAGAAAAAGCCTCTTTTACTTAGGGCTTATGTCCTACTTTTGACAAGGAAAAAAGATTTAAGTTGGCTTACAAGATGAATTACAATTTAAAGCAGGAGGCAAAAATAAAATCAAGACCAAAGGAGTTTTTTTAAAAAAAATCAAAGGATAGATATTGCAAGGTAGTTGGGTAAATGAGTTACTGCATTTGAACATTGACCTTGCCTCTGATGTTTTGAAGAGTTGAGACACAAAGAAATGCAATTAGACCGTTCTCCTCTGATAAAGGAAAACAAACGCAGAGAGACAAACTTTTTCTTGGCACTGAATTTATCATGTGCTTTTTTTATTTAAGGGGCATTGGATAACAGTGCTTTCAACTGTCCTTTCACAGAAGGCCCTAAGTGATTGTTTAAATGGAGGTTTCTTATATCCACTCTCTGTACGAGCTGAGGGCATAAACTTGAAGTGTGTGGAGGAGTTTCTGCAAGGAGCTGAGTTACTGCGGAGGACACGTGTTGCTTTGTGTCGGTCCCCTTTGGTACAGAGCTAAAACTATAGAGGACGTGGAGGAATAGCGAGTTAATCTGCCTCGTAAGCCATCTCTCTCTCTGCTATCCGATGTCTTAAATGAGCCTTTGGCACGAGCTGGATACTAATCAGTTCGTGGTTGAGCTCCCTGCCCGAAGTACCAGACTTGCGTGGTGTTAATTGGAGAGGCTTCCACCGGCTTCACACAGAAGAGCAGGGGCGAAGGGGAGCTGAGCTCTGATTTGTATTCCTCCCCACGAGAGGACCGTCCCCTCCTCCAGCAGTTTGCCAGCGAGGAAGGTAATTATTTTTCTTTTAACTGGAGCTGTTAATCTGCTAAGTAGAGACTTCAGCGTTCTGTGCCATCTATAGGCGATAAGAGTCAGATCTGCAGACTTTTCTAGGTGGCTGTTCTTAGCTGCCTGTCCAGGATTATCTGAAGGCAGAAGAGCATGTGGGTAAGCATTGGACTTGTGCCCCACCACCTTCCAGGTGTGCTATCTTGGGTGTGTCGCGTAAGGTTTCTAAGCTTTGGTTTTCTTGGTTTCCTTCCATAATGCGTTGAAAAGGGTTTAGCACGGTGCCTGGTACTTAAGTGCTCAGTACACATTAGTGATGGTAGCAATGATTTATTCGTGTTGGTGGGCCGGGGGGGTGTCGACATGTAACATTTCCTTCCTCACCAGGATCTTAACCAAGTAAGACATAGGAGTCTGTCTTAGCACATGGAGGAACCAGGAATGTGTGTGTCCTGGAAGCACCCCTCCCAAGAAGAGGGGGTTGAGCTGGACACACCCAGCCCCTTTCCTGCCCCCACCTCCAAATGTGGTAACTTACTGGTCCTTCTCTGGGAGCACTTGAGTGAAGATGAACAGAGGGAAACCACGTGAGTGTTCCTTTTGGGGGGGGCATAGCTGTCCCATTGAAATGCTGTTGTCTTCATTGCTCTGATGTGGCTAAATCTGAACACAACCTCATATTAATGGTTTTACTACAGAGGGGTCAGGTGCCCCTCCAAAACAAGAGCTCCTTATTGATTGCCTCAGTTTAAATGTTAGAGACTATTTAATTGTTCTAGGCAAATGTGATAGTGGCAGCTCTTTAACAATTAATCAACTTGCTCAGCTGCCTCTAAGGTACCTGCCCGATTCAAGATAATAAAACTGCATCAGCAGAGATGAGGGCACCGCCGTTTCCTCTGGCTTGAGCATGCATCCTGTTCATCTAATTAGCTGTGCCCAGTTCACTACGCTTCAAAGGGGGTATTAGAACATGGCCTTGTACAGGGTCCGGGATTAGTGCCTGGGCTCTTATCATCACTCTCGTCTCCTGGGATGCAGCGGGCTTTGAGAAAGTGTCTCTAACTGGGTGTGTAATAAGGTTGTGTAGTTTGGTCCTAGGGGGAGGGCCATGGAGCCAGAGCCTTGCCTGGAGTTCTGCTCACATGTATTGTGCAAGACTGTAGTCTTCAAATTTAACTCCTCTGGGCTGTGGTGTTTTTTGTTTTTATTGAATTTATTGGGGTGATACAAGTTTCAGGTGCACAATTCCTCAAGACATCATCTGTACCCTGTCTTTGGTGTTTGTTTTTGTTTTCTCTTTAGGAACTGTACATGAAAAGAGTATCTATCTCATAAGTTGTTTTGAAGATTAAGTGAGACTATGAGGAAAGTGTATGGCATGGTGGGTGCCTGGCCTATAGAAAGTCCTCGATAAATGTCATCATTGTCGTTGTCAAATGGGAATAATAATACCTTCCTTATAGAATTGTGAGGTGCACAGAGGTAATCTGTTGGAAAACCTGCAGTTAGGTCCCTGTATACAGACAGTAGGCACAAAACATCTGCCAATGATTCCAATAGTTTTCATTGCTTTGAAAGGTATCACAAAGGAGTTTCATGACCCGTATGCAAAAACCATAGTCTTTCACTTGAGGGTCATCCTGGTCTGTAGATGAGCAGACGCCGTCCAGGGAACCAGAGGAGCGAGCGGGCCCTTGCTTGTTGGAACGTTAGTGACGTCACTCTCAGGCTCCAGTGTTGGCGAGAGGGCTTAGTGACAGTGGTGCAGTTGAAATAAGATTAAGAACTTCGCACAAAAGCGGGAAGAACCACCAGCTTCAGTGATTATCAATATTTTACCAGTCTTATTTCATCTCTCTTCCCTGCCCCAGATACACACACATTTACTTTTTTTCCTTCAGGGAGGATTTCAAGCACATCCCAGACGTCATGTCATTCTACCATTAAATTCTTCAGGGTGCATCTTGAACAGATAAGCATTTTAAACAGAACCACCATTGCATTCTTAGCTGATTTCTTGATGAGATCAAGCAGAATACAGTGGTAATCAGTAGTGGGATGCATCTGCCCGAAGTGAGCGTTTTTATGCAAAATATTAAATCTAGTCCGATTCAGCAAGCATGGGAGTATCTTTTATGTGCGAGGCGTTGCATGCATAGCACACGTTTGAATATGGCAAGCAGTGCCCGACCCTATGAAGAAGGTCCGTAAGACCTATAACCAGAGTTCAAGGCCGTGTTCAGGAATAGTCCTTAGAGTGCAGGGCACCTGGCGGGGAGTAGGATGTCTACGAATGTTTGTTGACTAAGAAGTAGAGGTGCGACAGGCTAGGTGAGTGGAAAGGAAGCGTTCTCTGTTAGTAGGAGAGGCTACACAGACCAGGGATGTGCATGATGGGCCTCGGGGAACAGGCACAGTCTCTGCGGTGAAGAGCCCGAGGCCTGGAGCCAGACTGTTCAAGTCCTGGCTCTGCCATTCACTTGCTGTGTACCTTTGAGCAAGTTACTTCACCTCTCCGGTGCCTCACCTGTAAAAATGGGGACATTAACGGTCACTACCTCATAATGTTGCTTTGAGGACTGAGTTAAAATATACACATAAGTACTTAGACTGGGGCCTGCTATATATGTGTTACCTGCATGCATGTGTCCACACACATATACACATGCACATATTTGTGAGCTACTATTCACATTTTCCATTTCACACCCGAGGAGGCAGAGATTTAAAGAGGTTAATCCTGTGCCCACCGAGCTCAGAAGTGGCAGATCTGAACGCAGGGCTGTGGCCTTCCCACCGCCTTTCCCGTACGTCTCTCGGATGAGTCACACTTCCCGTCTTTGAACCTTCGCCACAGCTCTTTGCTGCCTCCCAGTTTGTGGTTCAGGTTAACGTGGTGACACACGTGAAGGGTCTTCACGTCGTGCTTGGAATGGAGTCGGGGCTCCATAGTGACAGTGGCTGCTGCTGCTTCCTGCGGGCTCTTGATGTTGCGACCACCCAGGTCGGCCTGGACGGGAGCCGGGAGGGCATCTAGCTCTGCGCACAGCCAGGTCAAGCGTCTCCTTTCCGCATTCAGTGGACTGTCGTCCTTGTCTGCACTCCAGCCGCCACGCCAAAAGCTGCCTTGAGAAAAGGGTCTGCAACCCCGGATGTGGGGTAGCTCGGGAGCACCTTGGCTTGCGCACACGCGGTATAAATGCATTTCCGTGGTATCCGTCCCGCCGTCACTTGATGCTAGAGAGGCAGTGCGGCGTCTGCCCTCTTCCCAGCTGTGTGACCTGCGTGTGAGACGCGGAGGCGGGATGACGGCCCAGAAGCCTTCGGTGTTTCTCTGTGGCGTCCACATCAGGGCAGGACGTGCCCCCGTGGGTGGGCAGGGCCACGTTGGTTTAACTTGAATACGGCACAGGGTCCAACCGCATTGAAACGAAGTGCTTGTGAAGATGGCAGGTGAGGGAATTCGGATTTTGAGTTCTTTCCATTTCCTGGCCCAGTGAATCATTCTTGGAGAAGTGGTCGATGTTAGACATTTCATTAGACACGTAAATCACAAAAGAACAGTTCCTTGACCTCACTCAGCAGTTTATAATCTGAATGAGTCATAAATGAAAACAACGTTAAATAAAATGGCACTGTTGGACCGAGGTGATGTGAGTAGATAGAGCTGGCAAGCGGAAACTTCTCTTTAGGCAGAGTGATTTCCTCCTCGACGGCAGAGTGCTATGAAAGAAACGTGGAGCCTTTTCTCGAAGCCTTACTGTTAAAGCAGCAAACATTTACTGATTCCTACTGCATACAAGGCTGCGTGTCTGGAACTTGGGGGTGAGACTTGGAGGAGTATAATAAAGTGGGATTACTGTCCCCCAAGATCACATGCCCGTCTTATGGAAGTGTAGAGAAAGCGTCACACCCTGAGGACTCCAAGAAGGGGGCACAGGGGAGATGACACTGAGGGATGAGTGGAAGTTTGCGGGGCATTTAAGAGGAAGGGGCAACTGCAAACAGGTCCCCATAGTGGCGTGAGACTGTGGGAATTGGGAAAACTTCAGATAATTAGGGGTGACACATAGAGTGGTGGGGAAAGAGGAAAGGAGGCGACAAGGGGGTTCCAATATCATCCTTGGCAAGTGTGGAGGACGGCCTTGGGGTCAGTGTAGAGTTACAGAAATGGATTAAATTAGTGCCATGAACCTCAGATGAAGGAAAGACTTTTATAAAATGAAAAATAATATAGGACCGTGGCAGTGGCCATGAGGACGCTAGGAGAGTGCTGGCTTTCCTCCCACTCCCTGTCAGATCCATGCCTGGCAGGGAAGTGGGGGCCCTACATGAGCCAGGATCTTCAAGGTTGACAATTGCGCGGCAGTGAAAAGAGTGTCATTTGGGGAGTTTGATTATGGGGTGTTTATTGACTGTGGAACAGATTCAGTGGAGAAAGTCAGAGGACTGGTAAAGTGAGGGTGAGACCACAGGGGAATGATGACCCGAGGGCCTTGCATTTGAGCCAAAGCCAAGGATGGCAGGAGCCCCAGCCCTGGTGGGGTCGGTCGGTCTCAGTGCTAGAATGTCTTTTGGGATAGGTTTTCCAGTGGGGTCTGTGGGCACTGCTTGGCATTCCAGGAGGAATCTGGGCAGAGCGTGGGCACCCAGCTTCTTTGATCTTTCTCAGAAGAGTCTAATCTCCTGGGGAAACTGACTGCAGACCCCAACCCTATGGAAAACTCAAGGCTCTGAATAGGGGACATTTGGCTTCTGGCCTTCTGAAGTGTCCTTGGGGGCAGAGGAGGGACAGAATTGTACAAGTTTTGTGATCATAGCTTTCACAGGACCCTTCCCATCCCATGCAAGAACTTCCATTTCCGTCACTGTAGTTGGTAGGGTGAGCATTTAGTGGTCAGGACAAGAGGAGGGCTCGTCTCGTTCCTTTGGCTAATGCTTGGTGTGCTGCTGTCTGGTTTTTTAACCCTGGTTCCTCTCCCTTTGGTTCAGAACCAGACTACCAGGTGCACCTGAATGCCTCGAAGGTCCCCGAGTTCTCGGACGACCTCACCGAGCTGGAGTGCCGGGTCGTGGGCATGAGGAGCGCCGAGGCGAGCGTCCGCGTCGCGGTGTCCTGGTACTATAGGATGTACCGGCGCAGTGACGACGTGGTGGCCAGCGAGCTCCTGGCGGTCATGGACGGGGACTGGACGCTGAAGTACGGAGAGAGGAGCAAGCAGCGGGCCCAGGACGGAGACTTTATTTTCTCTAAGGAGCGCGCGGACACGTTCAGCTTCCGAATCCAAAGGACTACAGAGGAGGACAGGGGCAACTACTACTGCGTCGTGTCCGCCTGGACCAGACAGCGGAACAGCAGCTGGGTGAAGAGCAAGGATGTCTTCTCTAAACCTGTCCACATATTTTGGGCATCAGAAGGTAGGAGCTTTGTTCCTGTTCTTTATTCTTGTTTTGTTTTGGCCGAAGTCACCCCACTGTATGTTTTCAGATGCGTAGTCACCCTGCAGGTTTCCGTTTATGCTAGGAATCCACGCAACGTATGCTCAAGTGACCACTGCCTCTTTCTGCGGCGCGCAGCCCTTTAGGATGCTGATGCGGGACAGGGGTGGGTCCTAGTGAGGGAGCTGGGCTTGGTCGGCGGCAGGTCCTCATCTCGGAGGCACTCGGGGTGTGCATGGGGTCAGCCGCTGACACTTGCTCCGCTGGGTGGTCTTAAGCCAGACTTCATACAGGCCTTCGGGATTTGTTTGTGTCCACGAGTTCCTGCTGGATGCAGGCACATGGAGGTGCCGCCGAGTGAGTGGGGACCACAGGCCGTTGCGTTTGCCCCTGAATCGCCAGTCTCCCACTCAGAGAGATTGTTTCTAGGGAGAAGTGACCAGAACACAAGGGAAACGATCTCTTTTTCTTTTTTTAATCTTCATCTGAGGATATGTCTTTATTTTTATAATTTATTTTTTTAAAAATATGTCTTTATTGATTTCAGAGAGAGGAAGGGAGAGGAAGAGAGAAAGACAGAAACGTCAATGATGAGAGAGTCACTGATCGGCTGCCTCCTGCACGCCCCACGCTGGGGACCGAGCCCTCAATCCAGGCATGTGCCCTGACCGGGAATCAAACCTCGAACTCCTGGATCCTAGGTCGATGCTCAACCACTGAGCCATGCTGGCTGGCGAGGATATGGTTTTATTAATTTTGAGAGAGAGAGAAAGAAACATCCATCTGTTGCCTCCTGTATGCGCCCTGACTGGGGATCAAACCCCCAACCTTTTGGTGAACAGAACAACACTCTAAACAACCGAGGCACATGGCCAGGGCCTGTGTCGTTTCTAATAGCACCCTCTTCATTCTTAGATACGTCCAGGAGTGGGAGGTCAGGTAAGCGAGGCCTCCCCGGGCTGTTACCTAGCCCAAGTTCCCCGTGAGCCACAGTCACTCCCTGCACACCCTTCGCTCCCTTGCCCTGCTCCCCGTGTGCTCTGTACTCTGGCTGAACGACACTGCGGTACAAAGCCAGCCCGCTCCCGCCCCCCTCTCCGCGTCTGCGGAGCTGAATGTGGTTGGAGAAAACATGTAAAGATGTTGGCTGGCCTCGTTTTAGATGAGATCTGCAATCTTTCATGTCAGGTGGGCTCTCTACACTCCCTGGGCATCGTTCCGCATTTCCTTAGTCTTGTTACTTTCCTACGCTCTAAAATGATCACTGCGTAGCCCTCTTGGTGATCAGGTGGGCGGTTGTGGTGTCCCAGTGCTTGTGTTCGGGTCACCCTCCTTTGCTTAATGATGGCCCCAACGTGCAAGAGTAGGGGTACCGGCAGTGTGGATGTGCCCGAGAGAAGCCGTTATGTGCTTTCTTTAAGTGAAAAGGTGGAACTTTTCACTTAAAGAAAGCACATAACGAAAGCACATAAGGAAAGAACAAAAGTTGTATGCTGAGGTTGCAAAGATCTACAGTAAGAACAAATCTATCCATAAAATTGCCTAATTTGTATCTGCTTAGGGATTATTATTATTTTTTTGGACAGAAATGCAGGGAGTAACACACTTAAAACCTAAAGTTAGTGTAGACACGGACACTTGCTCAAAATGTTCAAACAGTGTTTCCGTGGAAGTGACTAGATCTGTGAGTGGGTGCTCCCATCACTTTAGTAAAAGTCTGTTCTGTAATATTACCATCCTGGGATTACACAGAGAGAATACACTTCTCTCTTGCTCTGCTCTTCCGGGAAGGCTGGTTAGGCCACGGGTCCTTCCCCTGCTCCCAGCAGAACCTCGGGGAGGAGAGGCGCCTGGTGTCGCCTAGAGCCGGTCTTGCCCAGGTCCCTAAGTGTGAGCTCTCCCCACATCCTGGGGGGGGTCGGAAGGGGGGATCAGTGGCTACCCAGTCTCCTGCTCTGAGTAAAACTTCTCAAGGACCTGAAAAGCCTTAAAAACAGGTTTTCCCCCATCAGTTCCTGCTTCCCTCACACCTGATAAGTCACTTCAGGCTGTTCTCCTTCCTCCAGCGTGGCTTTCCGAGTTTCCACATCGTCTGAAGCGCTGTTGTGCAGCAGTTTGCAAATAAACTTCTCTATTTCCTTGACGTCGTTATCTCAGATACCCGCCCGTTTTAACTGATCCCGCTGGAAATCACCCACGTCTGCTGCTTCGTTGCAGATTCCGTGCTGGTGGTGAAGGCGAGGCAGCCGAAGCCTTTCTTTGCTGCGGGAAATACATTTGAGATGACTTGCAAAGTGTCTTCCAAGAATATTAAGTCACCGCGCTACTCTGTCCTCATCACGGCGGAGAAGCCTGTTGGGGACCTCTCCAGTCCCAACGGAACCAAGTACATCATCTCCCTGGACCAGGACTCTGTGGTGAGGCTGGAGAACTGGACGGATGCCTCGCGGGTGGATGGCGTTGTGTTGGAGAAGGTGCAGGAAGATGAATTTCGCTATCGAATGTACCAGACTCAGGTGTCGGATGCAGGGCTGTACCGCTGTGTGGTGACAGCCTGGTCTCCTGTCAGGGGCAGCCTGTGGCGAGAAGCAGCAACCAGTCTCTCCAACCCTATTGAGATAGACTTCCAAACCTCAGGTGAGCAGGGAACCCTGTGGGGTCATACATTGAGCTCGAGGAGACCCTAGGGCTTTGACCCAATGGCTTTATTTTTCTTTAACAGCTTGTTGAGATACGGTTCATATGCCATACAGTTGACCCATTTTTGAAAGTGTTTAATTTGAACTGGCCTATGCAGCCTAGGACAGTGGTTCTCCTACGTGGTCTATGACTGACGACAGCTTCACTTGGGAACTTGATGGGAATGCAAACAGTGGGTCCACCCCAGCCCTACTGAACCACACTCCCTGAGGGGGGCACGACAGTCTGAGCCTTAGCGCCCTCCTGGTGATTGTGGTGCCAGGGTTCCAGAACCCCTGCTCTGTGGCAGGGTTCTCACCCTCCACACTTTGCACCTTTGGGCCTCGATTCTGCTTTGCTGTAGGGGCCTGTCCTGTGCTTTGTAGGTGGGGTCACCAGATTAAATGCAGGGTGCCCAGTTCATTCAACTTGAATTTCAGATGAACAACACTGTTAATCTGATTCAAGTTTAACTGGGAGTCCTGTACTTGATTTGACTGCCCTACCCACGTGTATTTTTTTTTTAAATCCTCACTTGAAGATATTTTTTCCATTGCTTTTCAGAGAGAGTAGAAGGGGGAGGGAGAGAGAAACATTGGTGTGAGAGACACATGGTGGACTGGTTGCCTCCTGCACGTGGCCAGGGCCAAGGATGGAGCCTGCATCCGAGGTATGTGTCCTTGGCTGGAATCAAACCTGGGACCCTTCAGTCCACGGGCCGATGCTCTAACCACTGAGCCAAAGCCGGCCAGGGCATAGATGCCCTTTTTGAGTTGAGGAAGTTTCCTTTCATTCCTAGTTTGTTGTGTGTTTTTTATCACGAAGAGGTGTTGGGTGTTTGCAAATGCTTTTTCTGTATCTATTAGGATTCGGATGATTATGTGTGCTTTTCCCCTCTTGTATTTGTGTATCTGTTTTACTGTCTGTAGGAGCTTATTCCATCTTATTTTACATTTCTTATTTGATGAGGAAGAGAGGAGACATAAAATCTTTTGTATTTCTGAGTAAGGCATGGCTATTGAATTTATTTCTCAACTCTTTAAGTCTCAGCAGAACAGAAAAAAAAAAAAAAATCACTGTAATTTCCAGGATGAATAGACTGCCTAAGATTTTTATTTTAATCCTTGGAGTTGTCATGGCCAAGTTCACAGTGTAAGAGAAGCTGCCGTCAAGTCCAGCGTCCCGCACAATGCCGTAGCCCTGAGTAGCTCCCAGCAAGTATTGGCTTGATACTGAAGAGCTGTCGCTTCTTAAAATCAGCAGCACACTGTCAGACACATGCAGCAAGGAGGCCCCTGCTGGTGTCCACCTTGCTGTCCCCAGATCCCAGGGCGTTTGCCTCTTGGGGCTCTACTGAGTCACGACTTTTACTGTTGGGGAAAAATATGACTTGAATATGATGGTGTTAAAAGGATAATAAAGTTTTTCTTCTTAATAGAGAAAATTTAAAAATACAGTGCAGTAGAAAGAAGGAAAAGAGAATCACCTATAAACTTACTTTGTAGTCTTTATTTTTCTGACATTTTCTCCTGTATGTTGGCTTCATGACTTTGAGATCAGACTGTATATACAATTTTATGACCTGCTTTCCCCCTATTTCACATTATAAGATAAGCATTTTCCCTGCTATCACAAATTCTAGGTAAACACCAACTTTAATGACTAAACCGACTAGAATTTGGTTGACCGTCACTCTGTTGGTAGACGTGCAGATGGTCTGCAATTTTCGCTTTCACAAAAATGCTGCTGTTAACAGCCTTTCTTTAGGGGCTGGAGTTGGAAGATGGTTTGTGTCAATGTTTGTACTTAAAAGCCAAGTGGTCCGTGTACTCTCTGCAGACTAGGAATCGGGGGACACCGAGTGACTCTGGTTGTTCACTTAAGTTCTCTGCGCCGTAATCTGTCATCTTGAAGTTAACCAGATAAATCCCCTCACAAAAACAGCATCACCACAGAAATGGACTGTAATAAAAATATTTCTGAGCCTGGGGTAATGACCCACATTAACAGTGAGTGGCTGGTTTCATTAGCAGGAGACCCGCTGTGTGAGTGGTTCACAATGAAGCCTTTCCCGTTCCCGTCTGCGTGGTGAGCCTGAGCACAAATGCCCTGTTGTTCCCCTGGCCACGGCTCCTAGGGGAAATGAGAACCGTAACTGGTGACTTAGAAGGCATTTGGGGTTTTCTTCGGTAATATAAGGAAAAGAAAGGGAAAGTTGTCCAAATTTGGTCTTCCCTTGCTGGTTCAAATTAAGTAAATAAAAACTCAAATCCATTACGAGAACCTCTTTACGGTTTATCATCTTGTGTTCTCTTAGAAGGGGCCTGGGCACTTAGCTCTATTGTATTACCATGTAATATAGCTCTGTTGTATGACCATGGAATTTCTAGTCAGAGAGAAAAAAAATGCCATCCCCACTGCTCACCTGTACCCGCAGATGGCCATATGTGGCATGAAATCCCCCAGTCATCGCCACCAAGGCAACTCAGAGCAACTGGCTTAATCCTTTCCAACCTCACTGCTCTGAGCAGAGCAGATCCAGGGTGGTGAGGAGCTGAGGAACACGGCTGAGAGCTGAATTCATTGAGGGACATGGTATCTAGTAGTAGGTCAAGTTTCCTTGTCTTCTGTGCTTTCATTCCTTACCCTATTTCCTGGGACTGCTCTTTTGTTCTCTGTTCCCAGAGTTAAGTACCCTCCTGGTTCACCTGGACTCGCAGCCAGGCCTCACCCAGGGCTGCCTCACCTCCCTAGGTTTCCTTCACCTTTTTCCCAGCAAAACACAGGTTACTCATGTACTTGGTGTTAGGGAAGCAATCTGATGGACTGACCCTACTACTCATGCTGAAATGAAAACAGAGACTTTTTAATTCTTTGCCTTACTGGGTTGCATGATCTTTTACTCTTCCATAGTCATTTCTTTTAGATGTTTAAAAAAAAAAAAAATACTTTTGCCGGAGTGGCTCAATTGGTTGAGTGTCATCCTGTGCACCAAAAGGTTGCCGGTTTGATTCTGGGTCAGGGCACATACCTGGGTTTCAGGTTTGATCCCTATCGGGTCATGTATGGAAGTCAACAGATTGATGCTTCTCTCTCTGTCTCCCCTTCCCTCTCTCCCTCTCCCTTCTGCCCTCTAAAATCAATAAACATATCCTTGGGTGACAATTTAAAAAAAACGAAGTTCATTTGGATGTGCCTATGCTCGGTCTCTCTCAATAGAAGAGAAGCGGCCTTAGTACACCTTATATTTTGTGAATTTCTAGCCCAGTTCCAAGGAAAGGGAGACTCATTTAGATGGCTATAGAGAGTCAAGAATGGAACTTAAAAGTGTGAAGGAGAGTAATGATGATCACTTTCTTCTAGGTCCTATATTTAATGCCTCCGTGTATTCAGACACACCGTCAGTCATCCGGGGAGATCTGATCAAATTGTTCTGTATCGTCACTGTCGAAGGAGCAGCCCTGGATCCAGGTACTTCTCCCCACCTTCCTCCTTACCCGTATGGCTTTTTGTAAATGTTCTTGTGCCATCCCCATTGTGTTTCACAGACGTGGAAGTCAAGGATGGGGTTGTCTGTTTATCCCCAAACTGCTCAGCTCAGGATTTTGTTCTCAGCAGGTGTTTAATAAATATTTGTTGAATGGATGCATCTGGCTGTCAGATGAATTGGAAACACATCCAGATATTTAATCTGGGTTGTCAAGGCGATCAGTGGGCCGCTTACAGGGCTATTCAAGCTGGTTTGAAACCCACTGGCAGAGTCAAGCTCCTCACTTTCATCTTTCATTCACTTAATTGTTCAGGTATTTACTGAGCTCCTTCTGTGTACAGGTGCTGTTCAAGATGTTGGGAGTAGAGGAGTGAATAAAATATTCAAAGTCTGCCCTCGTGGCACTAGCAACCTAGTTAAGGAGACAGACAAGAAAGAAATCATTGTATAGTATCAGATAGCAATTAATGATATGAAGAAATACAGAAAAGAGCCAACAAGTTGCAGGTGACCGGGGGGTGCTAGTGTAGATTGAATTCTTAGAAAAATCTTTGTAAATTTTTTCTTTGCAGAAAATAACTAGCCTTGCCAACAGGAGGACAAAGAGCTGTGGGCCGTTAGTCTTGCGCCCTTTCTGCTTGGCCCAGTTAGCGACAGTTGATGTCCCTCTCTCACTTTTCAAGAGAACATTGAATGTAAATGCACTTAGGTGTCTCTGCTGTTGAGCAGGACTGTACCCACCCCTGCCTCCTATAGAGCTCGTGGAGAATTTGACTCATTGCCTGGGGGCTGCCCCTCTCTCCTCTGCATGCTTTGACCTTGGGCATCTTTGCACGGCCCATCCCATCACAAGCAGAGCCATGGCCTCTCACAAGCCATTTTTATACCTTGAAAACAGCCAAATTTGTACAGGTTTTACAAAAATTCTGTGCAGAGATCACTGGACGCACAGCCCTGGGGTGGAAACTGGGAGCAGGTGTTCGTTCTGTATTAAAAGGGGTTGTAAGCAAAGGGAGGGTGGCCTGCAGTGAAACCAGTGTGAATGCCATGAGTGGGGACTGGGCAGAACTGGTGTCGAGGAGCAGAGGCTTTGGATGGCCGCCCTCGAGGTCTGGCTCCTGCGGGACCCCCAGTTGAAGGTTCAGGTAGCAACCAGTTCAGAGTTGGTGAGTATTTTCTGTGAAGGACCCAGGTAGGAAGCATTTTTGGCTCTGTGGGCCAGATGGTCTCCGCAGCAACTACTCACTTCTGTTGTATGAAAACAGACTGTAACGAGTGGGTGTGGCCGTGTTCCAGTGGAACTTTGTTCACAGAAACGAGAGGTGGGCGGGATCTGGCCTGCAGGCGATAGCTTTCACACCCCTGGACTAGTTGGTTGATACCAAAATTGGCTCTCTTAGGGAGCCCAAACGAGGTTGAGCTTTAGAGGCAGAAAAGGAAGAGTTTGTGGACAATGTAAGAAAAGGAAAAGACAGAAAACCATCCAGGCTATCAGAGGTGGTTAGCTCTGTCCTCGGGGAAGGAATGAGGAGCCTGGGTCCTGATGAGCTGCCACTAGAGTCACATGCCGCTTAACCATGGGGACATGTTCTGAGAAGTGCGTCGTGGGGCAATTTCGTCACTGGGCAGACATCACAGGGTGCACTCCGCACAGACCTGGATGGCACAGCCTGCTGCTGTAATTGTGTGGGCTGGGGTGTCACACAGCTGGCGGCACAGTGCGCCGGGTCCACCAGCGTCACCACAAGCAGGGTGAGTAACGGGACTGTGACGTCACTCGGTGATGGGACGTTTTCAGCTCTGTTATGATCTTACGGGACCGCCGTCGTATGTGTGGTCTGTCGCTGGCCAAAACGTCCTTACACTGCACATGACTGTATCTGTGCCCGAGGTGCAGAGCACGGAGAACACAGAGTAGGATTCACCAGTGAAAATGAAGGTCAGAGTGGGAAAAGACTGCCAGGGAAAGGGGAGGGAAATCCTTTTCTAAAAGTTGGTAAGATAATACCATTTTTACCCTGAAAGCTCATTTATGACATACACAAAAATAAATCATGTAAATGCTCTTTCTCAGCAAATTAATGGGTCACCGGTTGTGCCCTTACTCTAACAAGTCTTTTCCTCCAGAGTAATTGCAGAAGCTGTAGGTAGCTGTTATCTTGCGGATCACAATTTTCCAGAACTTTGCCCTCTTGGACTGTGTGGGTGGGAGATTCTGAATAATTAAAAGCAGGCTTTAATTTAGTTTTCCCTCACACCTCCTATGGGCTGTGAAGGAATTCTCCTTTGGGAAGGACATGTTCTTAAGTGGGCCGAGCGTCAAGCTACACCTGTGCCAAAGTAGAGTCGGGGTGGGGGCCAATGGTGGCCATTGAGAGGTGATGTCTTAGGTCAGGTTCTCTAGAACCCAAACCTGAGACTAGCATGCGAGTGATTAATTGAAGGTGTGCTCTCAGGAGAAAACCATGAGGGAGCGAGGGATGGAGCAGGGAAGGAAGCCAGGCTAAGATGTGAATTCAAAACAAGTCTTAACTCCCCACGGGGAGCTCTGGAGAGCCGGTTGCACCCCAGGGTGTGAGCTCCTCGAGGGAAACGGCTGGGCTCTTATATCCCCTTATTGGTCAGTCATTGTCCACAGGCTGAATGCTGGAGGGTGAGAGTGTTCCTTAATGTCCAGGACGTGGCTGCTGTCGCCTAGGGCCAGTCCTCTGGAGGACGGTCCAGGCCTGAGAGCTTAAGCAGCCAACACCTGCAGCAGCTGGGGGCTCAGCACACCAGCTGGTCAGGACGGGGCACCAAGAGCCTCTGCTATGGGCGGTAATGCCCCTCCTGTTAGCTGCACCTGTCTGTAGAGCTGTATGTTGAACTGTGGAGATAGGATAGTGTTCGTGGCAACTGACCTCTATTGAGCATTTATTACGTTTCAGGGGCTGTTCTAAGCCTTTTATAGAGATAACTGTCCTAACCATGGTGATGCTGTTTTCATCATACAGATGAGGAAACTAAGCCACAGTGAATTTGAGTGACTCACCCCTGTCCCATGGCCAGTAAGTGCTGGTGCCGGGAGTCCAGCCCGGGTAGCCTGGCCCTATAGCCGGCCAACGCACTGTAAGCCACAGCAGGACTGGGGTTAAAGTCTGGGCACAAGTCACCGGTACACAGTGTGGCTTTCTGCTTTTAGTAAACCCCCAGCACCTGCAGGTGACAGCAGCACTGAGCTAGAATTTCCGTACAGGACTGTGATGCCTGTGCCCCCTCTGCTGTGGCACCGAGAGGGTGTGAGGACGTTGATGACACTCCTTCTGCCTCCGGGGAGTTGGTCATGCAAGAGATGACCTGTGCATTTGGAGCAATCAAATTTTATGCTCAGGTGCCACAGCGGGCCAATGGGGAGACTGACGTATTTAGAGGATCAGAGTAGAGATCTGTCATCCTGTAGGTAGAGCTGAGATTTTCCACGGCCCTTAACGTGTTTACCGTGAGTTGAAAAGGAATTACCATTTGGGTAGTTTTATAGAAATTCTTACAAGCATCTGAATATAATTTATCTGCCTCATGATGTGCTTTTTGAGGTTATTGTGTATATTTTTACTAAATGAGTGTATAACCAAAATTGTGTTATTGAACATTTACGTAGACAGTCTTGTCAAGTGCATTTAAGATAAAATAGTGTTTGTGGTGTTGCTGTCCCTTCTTGCCCGCTGGATGAACCTCAGACCTGACACAGCGGGTGCCAGTTGGTAACAGTCAAAAGAAGAGGTCAGGGGCTCACAGTGGACGCTCTCTTTTCACATTCTGTGAGAATCACCACTTGTGCCAAAGCCTTCCTTCTCTAATGCCCGTATTAATTTACTTGAGGCTGTTAGAACCTTAATTTCGCAGCATATTTTACGATTCAGCAGCATTGCTCTCTGGGACTGTTAAACTGTGTTCAATTTTCTCAGCTTGACATTTTTTCCTCTGGTTCTGAACTTAAACACTTCTGCAGGGGGTGGAAATCCACAGCGAACAGTAAAAGCGCAACTGTTTATGGCTCTAAATTCTGTACGATTCACTGGATGTACCTTTCGTTCCTTATGACGGTTGTGTCCTTCTAGTCTTGGGTGCTTCTGCCCAAAATGTCAGAGGACCCTGCTTTCTTTGGGAGACTGCGTGCAGTGTCACTACGTACCAGCTTTCCGTCCCGTGTTCTCTGTAGGAGACAGTTGGGGATCTGACTCTTCCTGTGCTTCTTAGGCTGGGTGATGGCAGCGACGTGGTTAAGAGGAGGGACCACGGGGCTGGACTACCTCCTGGCTGTGTGACCTCACGGGTATTTGGTCCCGCCATAGGGTATGGAACGTGATAGCACCTTCATCGTGGGCTTGGTGTGAAGGTACCGTGAGGATACAGGTAGAGAGCAGTGCTGGCCTGGTGTCAGGTGACACGTGTGTCAGCCCTACGTGTTATTTCTGCCCGTTGCACTGACCCCAGGGTTTTGGCTTGGTGATCCGTAGATGACATGGCCTTCGATGTGTCCTGGTTTGTGGTGCACTCCTTCGGCCTGGACAAGGCTCCCGTCCTCCTGTCGTCCCTGGACCGGAAGGGGATTGTCAACACGGCCCGTAGGGACTGGAAGAGCGACCTCAGCCTGGAGCGCGTGAGCACATTGGAATTCTTGCTGCAAGTGCACGGCTCCGAGGACCAGGACTTCGGCAACTACTATTGTTCCGTGACCCCCTGGGTGAAGTCACCAACAGGTTCCTGGCAGAAGGAGGCAGAGATCGACTCCAGGCCCATCTTTATAACTGTGAAGATGGATGGTAAGAGTGACGTGCCGATAATACTGGTGTTGAGGGACTGTCTTCTCTCTGCTGTACCGCGGCTGACGCAGGCCAAGTTCCCCCCACTTCAGGAAAATGCCAGAACACAGCCTGGTTTCCTTTAGGCCTGGCTGGGGCCTGTGCCAGGAAGAACACAAGCAGCCCTTGCTGTTTGCCCAGCTTCGGTCTCGTGTGCTGGAGGCACCATTGAGAAATGATTTTTAAGACTTACTGGAAAGATTTTTCATACTTTCTATAAATTCTATACAAACTCACTGTGCCAGGCAGAGGCAGAGAACAGAACTGAGAGAGCAGGTTCAGGTCTCTGGGAAAGACCGTGAATGGATTTCTGCCACTCTTGTCTTCTTGATTTTGGTTCTTGGAAAAGGGAGGCTCCTCCTGGTGTCACTGGCATGGAGGGGGTCCTTCATGCAATCCCAAGATGGGACGGCAGCTCTCGGCCTTTTTGGTTCACACTGACCACCAGGGTCAGCCTAACTAGGTGGTCAGATGGCCCCGCTCCCACCGTGTTCCCTGAGCATCCCAGAGTGGGGACAGTGGTTCCTTGGTTAACAAGAAACATCTTCTCTGCAAAAAGTTTGAGAGTAAATATTAATTGAAAAAAAAATACCGTGGAGAGAGTTTAAAGCCAGGTGCCTCTGAGCCTTAGGAGGAGACTTTTGAGTATGTTTCCCTGGTGATAGTCAGTTTGGGGGAGTCTGGAATTGGACCCCCTCTGCTCCCCAGCTCTTCCACAGATGACTCAGCCCTTCTGATCCTTTATGCCCTCTCTTGTAAAATGGGATAACAGCCTTTCCTAGGGCGGTTGTGAAAATGCAGCCATATGAAATGTTCGGCACCTCCCACGGTGCCAGCATCCAGCCAAGGAGTGTTGGTACGTACTTCTGGGGGAAGGGGGTGGGGGACTCAAGG